CTCTATTGAGTTCAGTTCAGTTCACTCAGTCGTGTCCAACTCTTTGTGACCCCATGGACTGCAGCACACCAGGCCTCCCTGGCCATCACCAACTCCTAGAGTTCACCCAAACTCATCTCCATCGAGTCGGTGATGCCATCCAACCATCTCATCCTCTGTCGTCCCCTTCTCCTCCCACCTTCCCTGGTGGCTCAGATGGTAAAGACTCTGCCTGCAACACGGGAGATCCCGGTTTGATTCCTGGGTCAGGAAGCGCCTCTGGAGAAGGAAATGGCAACCCACTCCAGTACTCTTGCCTAGAAAATCCCATGGAAGGAGGAGCCTGGTGCAGGCTACTGTCCATGGGGTCGCAAAGACTCGGACACGACTGAGGGACTCTTCTTCTGTCTTCATTCAGGTCACTTAAAATGGTGACCAGAGCTATGCAGGAAGCAAAATAGAGCATGTTGTCTTAAACTCTGCAAGAGGGTCAGTGCCAAGTCTGTGGAGGACCCTGTATGCTGACCATCTGACCTCCGCCTTGCTGAGTACCGAGGACAGATGCAGGCCCCGGGGGCAGGGCCGGTTGGATGAGTCTGATGGGAGAGGGGAGGAGGGTGTGAGACAGGCTGGAGCTGCGGGCAGAGCTGGGGCGGTTTGAGGATGGTGGGTTCATCACCAGCTGGAGTGTTAATCATTCGGCATCCAATTTCAATGTATGGATTCCCCTGTCACAGAATCCCTTGACACCAGCTGGGGGTGGGGTGGGGGGAGGGTCCTACAATTGAACTCAATTCTGACACTGTCTGCCTGGAGATAGTGTCAGATTCCATGGGTTAAGGGCTCAGTCCCATTAAGGTGGCACTAGTGGGAAAGAACCTGCCTGCCAATGCAGGAGACATAAGAGACACGGGTTCGACTCCTGGGTTGGGAAGATCCCCTAGAGGAGGGCACGGCAACCCACCCCAGGATTCTTGCCTGGAGAATGCCATGGACAGAGGAGCCTGGCAGGCTGCATAGTCTATAGCGTCACAAAATGTCGGACACGACTGAAGTGACCCAGCACACACGCATGCACCAGTAAGACGACCCCACCTGGCCCTTGCGTCAGACGCCAGTGGGAAGTTTGGCCAATTGGATATAGACCGGAGGTTCCCATCACCCCCTCCTCGAGTTTAATCAATTTGCTAGAGGGGCTCACAAAATCCAGAGAAAACTTTTACTTACTAGATGACCAGTTCATTCTAACTCAGGACCAGCCAGATGGAAGTGATGCATAGGGTAAGGGTATGGGAAAGTGTGTGAAGTTTCCATGCCCTCCCTGGGCCTCCCATTCCCCCTAAATCTCCATGTGTTCAGCAGCCTGAAGCTCTCTGAACCCTGTCCTTTGGATTTTTATGGGGGCTTCATTATCTAGGCATAGTTGATTAAATCACTAGCCATTGGCGATTGATTCAACTTCCAGCCCCACTGTCCCCCTTGGAGGTCGAGTGGGTGGGACTGAAAGTTCCAGTCCTCTCATCAGAAGATGGGTTCTCCTGCCAACCATTCCCTATCCTTCAAGTGAAAGGGAGAGTCGCTCAGTCTTGTCTGCCTCTTTGCAACCCCATGGACTATACAGTCCACGGAATTCTCCAGTCCAGAATACTGGAGTGGGTAGCCATTTGCTTCTCCAGGGGATCTTCCCCTAGCCCAGGGATCGAGCCCAGGCCTCCCACACGGCAGGCAGATTCTTTACCTGTTGAGCCACTGGGGAAGCCCTCCCCATCCTTAGGTGTGGACCAAAAATCATCTCATTAATACAACAACAAAAGACATCTTTGTCACTCTCATTGCTTAGGGAATTCCAAGGATTTCAGGCTTCTCCACTTGGGTGAAGACCAACACACGTCTTATTATAAATCACAATCTCCTAGGGATTAGGAGGCGGGCCAGAAGGAGGGAGACTTCGGTGGATCTGTGCACTCCCAGGCCCCACTGCCTGTCCCGCACCTCCCCACCCACCAAACTTGTTCCCCAGATTTCCACTCAGCGCAAAGACAACATCTACAACATCCTCCAGGAGGTCACCCAGCAGGAGGAGGAGCGCTCCGTCTAGAGGCTGGTGGCCATCGCCTCCAGGGAGATGACCGGCATGCTGGAGGCCGCGGGGGTCCTGCCCTGCCCGCCTGCCACTGCCCCAGGGGCTGGGCTCTGGGGGGCCACTGGGATGCCCGAGGCCTCCGTCCGCTAAGCTCATGGGGACAACAGTAGGCTGAGGGGGCCCAGGAGAGCCCAGCGGAGCCGGAGCAGGCGAGGAGCAGGCACTGCTGGGGCGGCCACGTGTCCTCCTCCCGTGCCCTGCAGATGGACGGCTACGTGAGGGCAGAGGTGGCCAGCGACACCCTGGTGGCCCTGTCCCGAAACCACTTCAGCTTGGTCATGTACGAGCTGCAGCACCATCTCAAACCCCTCAACCTCACGGAAGAATCTGTCATCGTCACCCTGGCCAAGCTGGCCAACGGCAACGGTAGGGCTCGAGGGGACTGGGCCCCAGCGTCTGCCCGCCGGGCCACCCCTCCGCCTCTGCCCTGGTGCCCGCGCCCGCCCGCTCCCGTGTCTCCCTCTTCCGGCCTTCCTCCGGCCTTCCTCCGTCTCACTTCCGGTGTCTCTCCGGCCCTCTCGGCCGCTGAGATCCCCTCCCTGTGCCCCCCATCCTGCGTCTTTTCTCCTGCCGGCCCTTCTCTGGCACGCCTGTCTTTCCTGCTCCCTCTCTGGCCCCGGTCTCTCCCTCGCTCCCTCCCTCCTTCCCTTTTGAGCCCGCTCCGAGCTCCGCGCTCCACGCAGGCCTTGCGGCGGGCAGTGGCCGCGGGTCAGGAGCCCCTGGGAACCGGTACACGAGAAAACGGAGTGTCCCCATGGAGAGGGCGCGCGGGTGTCCCCTGCATCCCCGCCGCCTCACCCAGGGTCTCTGGTCGTCAGGCTAGAGAGCTTATGAGGCAACAAGGGAGTGGCGGCCTGGGAGGGCGGCCCACGCCCCGCCTCCTCACTCTGCTCCCTGCGGGCCCAGGAAGAGCAGGGCTCTTCCCTCTGTTCCTCCGTCCCTCCGCTCCTCCTCCCCTCTCCCGGTCTCCCGGTCTCCCCTCTCCTCCCCTCCCCCTCCCCGCTCCTCTTCTCCCCCCTCCCCTCCTTCCCCTCCCCCCTCCTTCCCCTCCCCCCTTCCCCTCCCCCGTCCCCTCCCCAACCCCTGTCCCCCTCCCTCCATTCCCCCGTCCCCTCCCCACCCCTGCCCCCTCCCCCTGCCTCCTCCCCACCCCCTGTCCCCCTCCCCCATTCCTTTCCTCCCTCCTCCCTTCCCCCCTTCCCCCCTCCCTTCCGCCTCACCCGGTCTCCTCTCCTGTCACCCCATCTCCCCTTCCCTCGTCTCCCCTCCCCTCATCTCCTTCTCTGTCCTGGGAGACAGAGGGGAGAGGAGAGCAAATGGAAATGAGGAAAGGAGAGAGGGGGAGGGGAGGGGTGGGGGAGGGAAGGGGAGAGGAGGGACGGGTGGAGACGGGGGAGAGGGATGGAGACTGGGGGAGGTCTCCCCGCCCCTCCCCCATCTCCTTTCCCCTCCCCCGTCTCCCCTCCCATTCCCTCTCCCCTCTCCCTCCCCTCTCCCTCCCACCCCCGTCTCCCCTCCCCTCTCCTCTCCCCCTGTCTCCCTTCCCTCTCCCTGTGGGGCAGGGTTGATGGGGAGAGAGGACGGGAGGTGGGGGGAGGGGAGGGGAGACAGGGGAAGGGGGGAGAGGAGACAGGAGGGGGAGGGACGGGGAGGGGAGACAGGAGCTGGGGGGGACGGGGAGGGGAGACGGGGAGTCAGGAGGGGAGATGGGGAGAGAGTTAGATACAGGGGGCGGTGAAGTCTCCTCTCCCCTCCCACCCTTTTCCATCCCCTCCCCCATCTCCCCTCTCCCCCCAGGTCTTCCTCCCCTATCCCCGTCTCCCCTCCCCTCTTCCCCCACCCATCTCCCCTCCCCTCCCCTGGTTACCCTCCCCCTGTCTCCTCTCCCCTCCCCATCTCCCCTCCCAGGGAGAAGGGAGGGGAGATGGGGAGGGGAGATGGGAGGGGAGAGGAGACATAGGGGAAGCGGAGGAGAGATGGGGGGAGGGGAAATGGGGGAATGGTGGGAGACCAGTCTCCCCACCCCTCCCCCTCCCCCCATCTCCCCTTGACTTTTCTCCCCTTCCCTCCTCTGTTCTGTCATCTCCTTCTGAGTCGGGGTAGACACAGGAGAGAGGAGATGGAGGTGGGGATAGGGGAGGGGAGAGGAGGTGGGGAGAGGGGAGGGGAGAGGAGGTGGGGAGAGGGGAGTTGGGGAGAGGGGAGAGGAGCTGGGAAGAGGGCAGGGGAGGCGGGGAGGGAGAGAAGGGTAGACATCTCCCTCTCTACCCTTCTTTCCCGTCCCTCTTCTGCCCTCCCATTCCCCCTCCCCTCCCCCTTTCCCCTTCCCCATTCTCTCCACCCCTCCTCCCCTTCCTTCTTGTCCTCATCTCTCTTCCCCTCCTCCCCTTCTCCCCTCCCACTTGCCCCCTCCTATACTGCTTTCCCCTTCCCCCTACCCCCTTTCTCCCTCCCCTTCCATCCCCCCTTACCCCTCCCATCCCCCATTATCCCTCCCCTTCCCCCCTCTCCCCTCCAATCCCCTTCCCCTTCTCGCCTCCCCATGTCCCCTCCCCCGTCTCCCCTCCCCTTCTCCCCTCCCCCTCCTCCCCTCCCACTTCTCCTCCCCTCCCCCATCTCCCCTCTCCTGCACCCCCACGTCACCCCCCCCCCACATCTCCCCTCCCCTGCACCTGATTCCACCCCTGCCTCCTACCTTCTCCTGTGGCCCAGCCCATGCAAAGGGGTTCCCTGGCCCTGTTCTGGGCACTGGAGGTGTGGGCGATGGTGTTGCCATCTCTGATGACCCTCCTCCTCCGACGCCCTGAGACCTCTGCCCACACCTCGCAGTGTTTGAGTTCATGCCACACATGGGCATCACCCTGGCCACCATTTCAGCATGCTGACGCTCGCCAATGAAGCCGAGATGTGCCAGGTGACCTATGGTGGAGAGTGTCCCGCCTGGGCCTGCAGGTCTGGCCTGATCAGGGTGCTGACAGGAGGAGGTGGGTGTACAGCTAGAGACAAAAGGGCAGTGGGGATTGCAGGAGAGGGTGACCAGGGAGATGGTCCCAGCTCGGGCTTGACTTGGGTCATTTTTATCTGATCCCCTTGCCCCAGGTTTTGATTATGTCATGATTTTGTGGGCCCAAGTCCCCAATTCCTGAGAAAAGTAGGACAGAAGGTGCTGGCCACTCTTTGCTTTGGAGTCCCCAGGATCTGAGTTAGAAAGTCTTCTTGGAGGTCTCACCCTTGACCTTGCAACATGAACCTCAAGGCCGGGGGCCCAGTCACACCTGTGTGCTCCACCCCCCGGGGGAGTCTTTCACCCTCAGACAGGGAGGGGCTTCATGCAAGACCAAACTTAAGGAGCTGAGAGGGGGGTTGGAAAGGCAGATGGCGAGGGCTGCAGGAGATTTTTCCAGCAGCATCTCTGGCCATCTCAGTAACCCACTGGTTATGGAAGTGTGAGGGCTCCTCCTGAGAAGGCGCCCCGGAAGGCTCTGTTGTGCGTCCTGGCCCTCGGGGCTCACTGCACGTGCCCCAGGGCAGCCATGGAGACCTTCTGCGAGACGGTGCAGTTTTACCTGAGGCACCTGGAGGACAGCGTGTACCCCGTGATGACTGAGGACCAGTTTGCACTGAAGCTGTTCCCCATGTATCGCTACTTCGTGACGGTGTGGCTGCGGAACAACACCCCGGAGGTGAGACGGGCCCTCCCGGGTGGGGGTGGGAGCCCGTGGTCCTCGGGTCATCGCTCTCCAGCCTGTGCAGCCGGCCGGACTGAGACACCACTGGGTCCAAGGAGGTGGAGACCTGATCGGCAGAGCCAGGGGGGCCCTGCAGGTGTCTTGATGAAGGCCACTGGAGTTGCTGGACCAGGGTCCCTGTTCCACGTGTGCCGGGCACTCTCCGAGCGGTGCACTTGTGGGAGCCATTTCCACGCCACCTCCGGGTCATAGGACCGTTTTCCAAATGAGGAAACAGAGACACAGAGAGGTTGAGCACCTGTCCAAGGTCTCCTGAGTGAGAGTCAGGACTTGGGGGCAGGCTTGGCAGCTGGGGGACCCGGGGGAGGCCTGGACCCTACTCCAAGGTCCCCTCAGTCACCTGTCCTTGATTCCGAGGCTGGGGCTGATGTCACAGGACCTTCCTGGTGGTCCTGGCCGAGGGGTCTAGAGACCAGGCTCCTGTGCTAGGTGAAGCTGGGGGTCATCAAGTCCCTGAAGCCCATGCTGAACCTCCTCCTGCCCAGGGATGCCCTGCGGGACCAAGTGTACGACTCCCTCCCTCTGCTGCTGGCGGGGTACCAGGGCAGCCTGGAGGCACTCTTTATCACGCGGGTGAGGGGCCTGGGCTGGGGGCTCAGGGTATTTAGGGCTCCTCAGTGTCCCGTGGGGTGTTCTCATGGGTGGGAGATGTAGCCACGGGACCTGGCACTTGTCCGATTTCCAAGAAATATATGCTGCCGTGACACATGTGTTAGCCACTCAGTCATGTCCGACTCTTTGCGACCCCGTGGACTGTATCCCGCCAGGATTCTCGGTCCATGGGATTTCCCAGGCAAGAATACTGGAGTGGGTTGCCTGTTCCTTCTCCAGGGGATCGTCCTGGCCCAGATATCAAAGCCGGGTCTCCCATTATTGTCTGAGCCCCCAGGGAAGCCATGCAGAAAGGATGATGCCTCAGAGGGCTCTGGGCCCACAGTGAGGCCACAGCTCTCATAGCGGTTTCCTAAGGCTGTCGCAGCAAAGAGCCAGGAGGCAGGTGGCTTAAAGCCACAGAGATGTGGCTGTCATGGTTCTGGAGGCCGGCAGTCTGAAATCTCGGTGTCAGCAGGCTAAGCTCCTTCTGTAGGCTCTAGGGGAGAACCTTGCCTCTTCCAGCTTCTAGTGGCCCAGGCACTGCGTCACTCCAGCACCCCGTCTGTGGTCACATGGCCATCTCTGTGTCTCTCTCTGTCTTCTCTTCTCGTAAGGACACTGATCCTTGGATGTAAGGCGTTGTCAGGGTGATCTCATCTTTTTTTTTTTTTCAGTTTTTATTTAAAAAAATTTTTTGTTTGTTTCATTTATTTTTATTAGTTGGAGGCTGATTACTTTACAATATTGAAGTGGGTCTTGTCATACATTGACATGAATCAGCAATGGAGTTACATGTATTCCCCATCCCAATCCCCCCTCCACCTCCCTCTCCACCCGATTCCTCTGGGACTTCCCAGTGCACCAGGCCCGAGCACTTGTCTCATGCATCCAGCCTGGTCTGGTGATCTGTTTCACTATCGATAATATACATGTTTTGATGCTGTTCTGTTGAAACATCCCACCCTCACCTTCTCCCACAGAGTCCAGTCTTTTTCTGTTTTGCATATAGGGTTATCATTATCATCTTTCTAAATTCCATATATATGTGTTAATATGCTGTAAAGGTCTTTATCTTTCTGGCTTACTTCACTCTGTATAATGGGCTCCAGTGTCATCCATCTCATTAGAACTGATGCAAATGAATTCTTTTTAATGGCTGAGTAATATTCCATGGTGTATATGTACCACAGCTTCCTTATCCATTCGTCTGCTGATGGGCATCTAGGTGGCTTCCATGTCCTGGCTATTATAAACACTGCTGCGATGAACATTGGGGTGCACGTGTGTCTTTCAGATATGGTTTCCTTGGTGTGTATGCCCAGAAGTGGTATTGCTGGGTCATATGGCAGTTCTATTTCCAGTTTTTTAAGAAATCTCCACACTGTTCTCCATAGTGGCTGTACTAGTTTGCATTCCCACCAACAGTGTAAGAGGGTTCCCTTTTCTCCACACCCTCTCCAGCATTTATTGCTTGTAGACTTTTGGATAGCAGCCATCCTGACTGGCGTGTAATGGTACCTCATTGTGGTTTTGACTTGTTCTTGAGAGCCTTAAGTAATTAGGTCTGCAAACACCCTATTTCCAAGTGAGCTCACATTCTGAGGTTGTGGGTGGACATGGATTCTGGTGGCGGGGGACACCATTCAACCTCTTACCAGCCTTGGACGTGTGTGAGATGGAGTCTTTGCAAGATTCTGAGCCAAGCTGTGACCTGGGCTGCTGTATATTGTGAAGGGGGTCACTCATTTACAGATGAGGCGAGGCCCTTCTCCTGGTGAGAGCTGGGAACAGAAAAAATCATGCAGCATTTGGGGAGCCACGTGCAGACCTTCTGTCTAAAGTTGGGATGCACTTCTAGGTGGCTAGGGGAGAAAGGGGAAGAAGGCCTTGAACACCACACTCGGAAGCCCTAGTGCAGACATGCCAAGCTGTAGTGTCCACCGCAATGCTCAGAGGCGGCTGGAAATACAGTGGGACTAGGGAGTCTGGGCAGGGCTTGAGAGGTGGCCTCTCTGCCCAGCTCCCAGGGGATACTGATACATCCAGAGGGGGAACGTCAAGGGGCAAAGGTCTGGCGTTTGACCTGAGTAGGTCGAAGGTCACCTGCCACCCTTTCCCACCTGCTGCAGGTCTTGAGGCAGATCCTGGAGATGTCATTCATCACCAGTAGCCCAGTCCCGCAGATGCAGCTGCACATCATCTTCACGGAGCTGCATGTCCAGGAGAGCCCCAGGGCTGCGCGGGGCGTGGCCTTCCCCAGGGCGGGTCAGGGGACAGAGGCTGGGGGCGGGTAGGGGAGGCGCGCTGAGGCCCTGTGGTGTGCGGACCAGCGCAACCGGTGGCAGGGTGGCGGTGGGGCCCCGTCTGATGCCCGAGGCCTCCGGCCTCCTGCCGGGGGCGAGGCACAGGTGGGGCTCCTGCCCGTGTGCCCCGCCGCGGGGCTGACCTCTCCACCCCCCTGCCCGCCCCTCCCCAGGTGTGCTCCAGGGCCCCCGCCCAGCAGCGGTTCAGCAGCCAGAACCTGGCGGAGATAGTGCACAGCTTCATAGCCCCTGGTAAGGCGCCCCGGGAACCCTCGGGAGTGCTGGCCCCCTCTGAGCGCCGGGCGCCGGGGCTGCCTTGTCCCGCTGCCGCCCTTGACTCAGGGCACGACTGAAGCTGTCCTTCCCCCTCACCCTCTGCAGCCCGCTCCTACCCCAAGGAGCTGATGCAGTTCTTCCTCAGTCAGATGGAGATGAGCAAGGAGGCCATCCGCGTGGGGACCCTGGCCCTGATCGGGGCAGTGGTGAGCCCAGATGGTGAGCACTCACCCCGCAGGGAGACCGGGCGGGAGCAAGGGTGGCAGGTGTCAGTCATATCTGGCCTTTTTTTCCCCTTAACTGTTTGGCCGCACCCTGCGGCGGCATGTGGGACCTGAGTGCCCTGACCGGGGATCGAAGCCATGCTCCCCGCGATCGAAGCACGGAGTCTTAGCCCCTGGACTGCCATGGAAGTCCCTGGACCATTTCCTCTCTGTAGACTCTGCTGGGTGGGCCGCGGAGTCAGGGCTCTCCTTGGCTCCATTTCCTGTTCTTGAACCTAACCAGCCTTGTGTCCCACCCTCCACAGCCTCGCCCCTGTCCTTCAGCCCTGATCCCAGCTTCTGCCTGAGCCTGAATTTCAAACCACAAATCCTAGTATAACTCGCAAAGCTAGCTGGAAGCCTGCCTATAAAGCCTAGATACACAGTATAGATGTGCCCTAAAGCCCCGTTGACCTAGTGCCTAAGCTTAGTCTGAAACCCTGCTTCCGAATCCCCTCAGCCCAGACCCTAAGCCTGGCCTAGCGATCCCCAGGGACACGCTGTTCCCCAGAGCTCCAGCTCAGAGAGCTTCCGCTTGAATGTGAACGAGGCGCCCTCTGCTCGCAGCAGTTGGTCTTGCAGGGATGGAGAAGCACACATGCTGTGCGCAGGCGCTGCAGTCACGCCCATTGTTTCCCAGCAAGCCGGGCTCCTCTGTCCATGGGGTTCTCCAGGCAAGAATACTGCAGTGGGTTGCCATTTCCTCCTCCAGGGGGTCTTCCTGACTCACGGATCCAATTCACATCTCTCATGTCTCCTGCATTGGCAGGAGCGTTCTGTTTCACTAGCGCCACCTGGGAAGCCCTGAGAAGTGCTTGGTTGGCATCAGTCCAGCCCTTCAGCTACTTATCCTTGTGCAGTACACACGCTGAGCAACTGTATGTGAGAGACGTTCTCCTGACAGTAAACCCATCTTTTACAGAAATGCAAATTGAAGCAACAGAGAAGGTGAAACTTTATCAGTCATGTCTCACTGTTTCAGTTCAGTTCAGTCGCTCAGTCATGTCCAACTCTTTGTGACCCCATGAACCGTGGCTAACCAGGCCTCCCTGTTCATCACCACTTCCTACAGTCCACCCAAACCCATGTCCGTCGAGTCAGTGATGCCATCCAACCATCTCATCCTCTGTTGCCCCCTTCTCCTTCTGCCCTCAATCATTCCCAGCATCAGGGCCTTTCCAAATGAGTCAGCTCCTTGCATCAGGTGGCCAGAGTATTGGATTTTCAACTTCAGCATCAGTCCTTCCAATGAACACCCCAGACTGATCTCCCTTAGGATGGACTGGTTGGATCTCCTTGCAGTCAAGGGACGCTCAAGGGTCTTCGCCAACACCACAGTTCAAAAGCATCAATTCTTGGTGCTCAGCTTTCTTCACAGCCCAACTCTTACATCCATATGTGACCACTGGAAAAACCATAGCCTTGACTAGACAGAGCATTGTTGACAAAGTAATGTCTCTGCTTTTCAATATGCTATCTAGGTTGGTCATAAAATTCCTTCCAAGGAGCGAGCGTCTTTTAATTTCATGGCTGCAGTACCGTCTACATCGATTTTGGAGCCCAGAAAAATGAAGTCAGCCACGGTTTGCACTGTTTCCCCGTCTATTTCCCATGAAGTGATGGGACCAGATGCCATGATCTTAGTTTTCTGAATGTTGAGCTTTAAGCCAACTTTCTCACTCTGCTCTTTCAGTTTCATCAAGAGGCTCTTTAGTTCTTCTTCACTTTCTGCCAGAAGGGTGGTGTCATCTGCATCTCTGAGGTTGTTGATATTTCTCCTGGCAACCTAGATTCCAGCTTGTGCTTCCTCCAGCCCAGCATTTCTCATGATGTACTCTGCATATAAGTTAAATAAGCAGGGTGACAATATACAGCCTTGACGTACTCCTTTTCCTATCTGGAACCCGTCTGTTGTTCCATGTCCAGTTCTAACTGTTGCTTCCTGACCTGCATACAGGTTTCTCAAGAGGTAGGTCAGGTGGTCTGGAATTCCCATCTCTTTCAAAATTTTCCAGAGGTGGTTGTGATCCACACAGTCAAAGGCTTTGGCATAGTCAATAAATCAGAAATAGATGTTTTTCTGGAACTCTCTTGCTTTTTCGATGATCCAGCGGATGTTGACAATTTGATCTCTGGTTCCTCTGCCTTTTCTAAAACCAGCTTGAACATCTAGCTCACAGTTCACATATTGCTGAAGCCTGGCTTGGAGAATTTTGAGCATTACTTTACTAACATATGAGATGAGTGCAATTTTGCGGTCGTTTGAGCACTCTTTGGCATTGCCTTTCTTTGGGACTGGAATGAAAACACCTTTTCCAGTCCTGTGGCCACTGCTCAGTTTTCCAAGTTGACAGATATTGAGTGCAGCACTTTCACAGCAGCATCTTTTAGGATTTGAAATAGGACAACTGGAATTCCATCACGTCCACCTCCATGATCTCTGTGATGTGAAAGAAATCTAGGTGCTCATTTATGCACAAATGAGTTGAGAAGGATACACCTAAACCATGAAGGCTGGTTGTCTTTTATTTTAATTTCTCAGTGAACATAGACTATTTTTATAATCAGAAAAAAGGTTTCCATTTTAGAGATGAAAAGCTCTTAAGTGTAACATCGTCCCTTTGTGCCTGAATTCCCGCATCTTCCACCAGGATCTGATTTCCTGTTGTTCTTCCTCCTGCAGTGACGTCTAGTAGCACCTAGACTTGAGTGTAGCAAGGGCCTGAGTTGCCTGACTGTGGTTCTGTCCACGCCGACCTCTCGAGAGCCTTCTCTGCGCCCTTCCTTACCTCC